TGAATTTTTAAGCCATTAGTCCCATCATGCCGCCACCCCTGGTGATCAAAGGAGTGGTGGGTAAGAGAGAGTGATATGAAGAGAGGATTAACAGCTAACAAGAGGATTGGAGGGAGGGAAGGACGATAAAGAGTATGAAGGAACAGATGACAGAGACAAAGGAAACCAAATGCTAAAAAAAAAAACTATGTGCCAGCTCCTTTGTTCTTTTGACAGCAATATAATATATATATATATATATATATATATATATATATATATATATATATATATATATATATATATATTATATTGTATATATATATTTTGTATCATGTATTATATTGTACACAAATATCCTATCAGTGGTGCTTTCAAGATCCTTTCCATCCATCCTTTTTGGTACAAACTAGGTCTCTTTTCTCCTCCAAACTCTCCTCCTCTAACCCTTTCTCTCTCCCCTTCACCTCTTTAATTCTCACTTACGCCCTCCTCTCCTCTCTACTTTTTTCTTCAGCTGTCTCCTCCTCTGATCTTGTCACCTCTTTTGTTTCAACTCTCCTCTTCCTTTTGTCTTATTTCCTTTTCCCTCCTCACTTCTCCTCCTTTCTTTTCCTCAACCTCCTCTCTTCTCTCCTCCTCTCCTCTCCTCTCCTCTCCTCTCATTGTTACGCTGTAATTGGAGCTGGAAGCCTCGAGACAAGCAGCTCAGTGTGCGTCAGGCTGACAGGCAGGCCCGTTGGCTTCTATTAAGCTTTAATAAGTGAGCAGGATTGGAAGAGGAGAGGAGAGTTGAAGGGAGGAGAGAGTGCGCAAGCTGCTGCTTCTACTGTCACCTCTTAGCAGGATGCAGGGAGACCTGACTGCTGTCACAGAAAGACACACACTACCAAATCTACCCATCTGTCATTTCATTTTTTGTCTGCTTTTTCAGTTTATTGCCACTGGCTAAAGATGTCCTCTACATGTTGTGCATCTAAGACAGACAGACATACAAGTGGGGGGAAATGAAATTTGTTAAATAACCTACAACATATCTGAGTGTCCATGTCAAAGAGAAGTTAAGGAAACATATTGAGTGTGAGGCCAGTCTCTCTCTCTCTCTGCTAAAACGTCTATACACATGCACGCACACACAGAAAGCCATACTTACACACACACGCTTGTCAAGACCTCTCCTCCTGCATGAAGATGACAGCAGTATTATTGCACCGTGCAGAATTTAATCTGAAGTGCCACACAGCAACCCTGGACCCCAGTTGAGGTAAATGTTAGAGAAATATCTACAACCTCTGCAGCTGAGTGCAGCAAGAACAATTCCAGATGTGATGTGTGTGAGAGGAGATTTGCGGTTGTACCCCGATTATGTTGCCTTTTCCTAAATTTTCTGTGGTTGCAGCGCTTCGTTTTTGTTTACAAAGTCATCAAGGCTGTAGTTTATTGAAAAAAATGAATCAATTCATTACCTGACTTTTCAAACTCCTTCTGGGCCCTGTAAATGAGCACACTGGTAACCTCCAAATGTCTTCCTTTGTGTCGCATCTGCTGCCCGCAAGAAGAGCCTTTTTACTAAGGAGAGGAGCGATAATGTGATTGAAACTGGCAGTCTATCCAAATTGAATATTGGCCTGAAACTTGAAAATACATACAGCAGCAATCAGGGTTATGTTTAGGCTGCTGCAATAAAGATGCCAAGAATGTGTTCAAGGAGAAAAGAACTCCCAATGAACAAATGCCAAATTCAATATAAACATGGGTGCTTAAATGAATACACAAAGACTAACGTCTGTGCATGTTAGCCTATGTAACCACGAGCTGGCTGTGTGACAGCACGAAGGAACGAAGTGAAGAAAGATATGTCGTGAGATCAGAATTATGAGCTGCCATCTGTTTTCAGAGCAATTTTGAGATATTGAGCAATCAAGTTTATACATCCCATTGGGCAAAACTAACCTCCTAAATAAACGTTAATACTCTGTTAAATAAACACTTTAAAATGCATAATTCAAGCCACATGCATGGACTTACTATGAAAAATTCTTCCCAACAATCCCATTTTAGATCAAAGTATTAGATGGGAATGTATTATTCCAACATTAATATTCAGAGGCAGTGATAAACTAATGGAAGATGAAGTTAAAAGAAAATGAGGGAAGAAGAGGTTGTGGCATCAAGCAAACAAAAAAATGAAAAACAAATACACTTTAGGACCGAACACAATTCCGCTGATAAAACGTGATCTCCAATTATTCCAAAGGATTTGTCTGATGGTGAACTAAACTGTGCATTTCACGTAACTAACAGGCTGTAACTAAGGCCGGTGCCTGTGTGTATCACTTAGCTTATTGGATTGGTGATAAAGGACTAATTAGTGCTGAAAAGGACATTGATTGACCAACAAGGCCAGTTGATTAATGCCAGGTTTCAGTCAATGGAAACTGCAAACTTGTTGAGAGTATGGACTCGCATTGACAGTGTCGAAGATCTATTGTCCAAGATATAAGATGAAATTGTAAGCGACAAGGGGGTCGATGAATGGTTAAATAGAAATCTGTGAAGGTACAGCCTGGCAGTGAACCAACTATCTAAATAAATAAATGAAAAACTCAGACAAGGTTCCTCTTTGGATTTCGGTCAAAATTAAATTTTTAGCCCCGCTAGCAGTGTGTCTCTAAGGATGGCATTGCCACTTTGATCCAGACTAAATTATATACATACATTGCCATGAAATTTTGTACAGACATTTATTGTCCCCATGAGGAACCCTATAGAGTTTGATGAGCCCCTAACTTTTGATCTAGCGCCACCATGAAGCTGACTTTTGTGGTTGTGTGAAATGTCTTGACACTAATTCCCATGAAATTTAATACAAACATTTAGGCCCTTAGGATGAATGGAAATCACTTTGGTGATTTTTTTATTTTATTTAACGCTATCATCAGGTCACAATGTTAATTTATCCAAAACTAACGACAGCTGTACTTTGTGTATGGTGCTAATGAGCAAATGTTAGCATGCTGAATAAAATAGTAAACCTGCTAAATATTACCTTACCTTCTACCTGTTAGCATTGCCATTGTTTGCATTGATGTTAGCATTTAGTTCAAAGCATTATGCAGCCCCATAGTAATTTTATTCTGGCCTTTTTCCTTGCTCTTTCTCTTTGCACATTGTGAGGTTATTGTAATTGCGTCTTTGGAAAAGGCTTTGGGCCATGGTTACCTAAAGAAATAAAATAGGTTTTTTTTTTTTCATTCAGAACTATTTTTACCATAGAATAATTGCCAGCATCTCCTCACAAAAAGAAAAAGCTAAAAACAAAGCCTGAGGTTTTTCTAGCTGTGTCATTGTTTTTTGTGAAGAGGTGTTACTGGAGAGCTTTGAAAATGTGATTTTTTTGGTGTGCTCAGCCAACACAAACCAGCTTTGAGCTCTATCCTGTTGGGACAGATATCCCCAAACCTCAGAAAATCCAATGAAACTAGTTAGATTGCATAGTCTGTAAGGTAAGGAAATAGGTTTTTTTTAACTATAGAAATAGTGTGTTTTGGAAAACTGGCCCTTTAATGTGTACAAGAGCACTTCCGGCACAGCATAGCAGTTCAGCAGCCTCTCACAGGGTTTAAGCTGCCAGTCCCCAGCTTAATGTCAATGTGTAGAGTAATACTTTATTATGCCAAGCCACAGGCCACATTAATTAACCACCAGGCTGTACAAGTATTTGCACCACAACCAGCTGCATTTGTCCCCATTAAAAATGAATTTGTCAGTCACTGAAAGTATGTTTGTTTAAAAAAACTGCTGCTGTTAACTGTAGGTTCATTCTTTCTCCCGTTCTTCGTTCTGCTCCTTTTCTGTGCTGTGTATAAGTGAGTAAGTGGCTCCCAATGTCTATTAATGACATCCATTTATTTTCTGTGAGAAAGAAAATTTATTTCACTGTCCTTGTGGAGACAGTCCTCCCTCTGCCACTATTGGTGTTGTAATTTAACAACTATTACTATGTTTGTCTAAGGACCCAAATGTTCGAGTTTGCTTTAGGCGACTTCTCTCTCTCTCTCTCTCTCTCTCATTGTAACACCCTCCTCTTTCCTTCTTCTACTTTTCTCCAATCTGCTTCCCTTGGCACAATTTCATTGTATTCGTTGGTGTTGGTCCCAGGAGCTCACGCAGCAAAGAACAACTTTTCTTCTGGCATTTTCCTAATTGATCCATGGCAGCCCACGCTGTGGTCTAGCTGTATTCATATCTTCAATAATTCATAAACCGTTCTCTCGGAAGGATCCCATGTTCTTATACAAAAGAAATACAGAAATTCATGGTCTTGTCTGCTGATATGGTGCCCTTTATCTATAAACATGATGCCTTATGTTCATCCTTACAAAGACTTTGGCATATAGATGGAACAAGGGGAAACTTTCAGCATATTTATTAGAGGACTGCCAGTATTTTCTATTATAAATTCACAGCATAGAAAACAAGTCTAAAAGTTTCGGGTCTTTGCTGTTTGTACATTAGACAAAAAGCTGAACCCGAGAAGTATCCAGAGAATTAACCGATTAGTGTATGTATTCTTTTTTCTTTTTTAAATCAAAATATTTTTTAAGTCACAAGTAGTGTATATAGCACATCTAGATGGGAAGTAAAACATGTTTTCATGGACATTAGGAAAACTTTAACTTATTACTCACTATTAATGCCAGACTTGGCATCTCTCCCCATAAAGCTAATGTTGTGAAACATGTTAGGGTTGAGAGCTATTCTCAATCAGGAAGACAGTTATTACAGCTATTAAAATCACCATCCACTTTACGTAATGAAGGCAATTAGCCAGAGCTACCTTGGCTGGAAAGCATAGGACCATTCCCACCCACAGAGGGGAGAGAGAAAATAGGCCATCTTGTCTCGCCATTTGTTAACTCCCACATGTTTAATACAGGAAACACTGATGCTATTAACATGGTTCCGCCAGTTGACTGATGGCTTTCTTTCTGTGTGTGATTGTATCTCCGTCTTTGCAGGAATGCTGCTCCAAGAGAGTTTCATCGAGGAGCCTGATGGCCTGGTGTCTGTAAACCTGCTGGTGGTTTCTGCTGTTTCAGCCTTCGCAACTGGAGCCGTCCTCTCTGGCCTCACTGTCTGCTGGATCATGAGTCACCGCCACCGCCACTCTCGAGGCTCTGGAGCGAATGGCGCCCGCCGCAAAAGTGACAAAGAGCAGAGCATGCTGGGGCAGGGCCGTAGCGGGTCAGTAATGAGCGTAACAAGAACCAGCGGCGGCGAGAGGCGTCGTTCACAGGCAGACAACCCCTTTGTCACGCCCAACGGTTGGCCCAAAGGAGAGATGGACCCAGGTTTGCTCCCTACCCCGGAGCAGACCCCGCTGCAACAGAAACGGGCCATGCGTCTCCCAGACACCGACTGGGACCAGAGCCAGACCTTCCTCACCGCTGTGGGGACGCCCTGCCCCAACAACTCTGTCATCTATCTGAGCTCCAAGTTCCTGCATGGAGGTGGAGGGGGTGGAGGAATGGTCCGGATAGAGGACCCAGGGGAGGTCATGCTGCCCCCGCACACAGAGCGCCAGCGCTACCTGATCCTAGCCACCCAGAGAGGGGAGCATGGTGGCAGTCGTCCCAGCGGCACCCTGAGGAACTCAGCGGGAGAATACATCTACCCCGCCACGCCGCAGGACTCCCCTGACCGACGGAGGGTGGTTTCCGCTCCCACTCCCCACATGGACTATGGGGAGCCTCGCTGGAGTCACGAGGCACTCAACTACAACAGCAACAATGGAGCGCCCTATCACCCCCAGCGTCAGGCTCTCATCAGGCCAGATATGCATGGGCCTCGAGGGCTGGGAGAACTGGCTGACTTCAGCCATCTTCTAGGGAAGAACATGGGAGAGCGCACCCCCAGTGGCCAGTGAGGCGAAGTACGTGAGCCCTGGCACCAAGCTCTCTCTGAACACCCATTCCCTCCAACAGCAGACTGGAATAAATCAACCCCTCAGACTCACTGTCCCGGTCCAACCTTACCCTGTCTGTCCTCTCTCACTGTCATTCAATGTTCTGACGTCATTCAGCTGACTGAAGAGAGAGACAGAGAGAAAAGAAACAAAGAGAGAGTTGAAAAAGAGGAGAAAACTCTCCTCACGTCTCCGTTCCTCTGCTCTTAATCTGAGGCACACCCCTCTGCTCTGTATGTGGTACGACCTGCAGAGCTTGACTTTAACACCACAGGACAAACAGAAAGGTAAAGAGAGGGGTGCAGCAGAAAGGGAATCTTCTCAAAGCAACATGTGGGGATTAAAAAAATGAAAAATTCGCTTGCAGCGCCAAATGTGAAAGGTCTCCCTCCACCATTTTGTTCACCGTTTTGACACCATGGATCTTGTTTGAGTGTGAAATTTTGTTTCTGCTTTTGTTTTGTTTTTTTGAGCCAGTGGCATCCAGCAGACAACAATGTGCTTTACTATGGATTTCAGATGAGACTAAAACTGTTGTAGCCGTGCCAGAGGACATTGACTCTCAATGAATCATGCAGTGTGTGTATGTGATTGTGTGTATGTGTGAATGTGAGTGGCCACAACAACCCCAACCAGTGTCCTGTCTTTAACTGTGAAGTATAACTATATAATGAAGTTTCGTAAGGAGGAGGTTGATGTTAACATTATTTTCCTTTTTTATAAACAATCACAGAGAGACACATGGATTTTATTATATGTCTCCTTGAAGCTGTATGTGTTTAGCAATCAGAGGTTTGGATGGTTGACCAGTGGCTGGTGAAGGGTTGAGACACTCATTGTAAGTTCTGTGATTCCCAGTACCTAAGAGGCAGCACTGGATAGAGCCATCATAAAGTGAAAGAAAGCAATAATAAGCAAGACACACATGAAGATGCAGTTAAAGCCAATTTAATTTGATATTTTATAATATAATTGTTTTCTCAGCAAAGCAAACTGGAGTTTAGAGATATGAGGAGAAGCTGGGTGCTGGGAAAAGGAACAATAGCTCCCCTCCATTCTTCCCTCCCTGGCTGCCTCTCAGTATGCCTGGGTCTGTCTGACCTGACCTGAGGCCCCCCTGGGCTCCGCAGTCCATTTGAAGGAGGGAATGTGAGCTCTGGCTGTCTGGCTGTCTGACTGGGTCTGTGAGGCCCGGCCGCTTGGGAGCTCCATTCAGGGCTCTTCTGCCCGACACTGAGCCTCTTTGTGCCCCAGAAGCAGGAGGAGACTGCAGCAACAAATAGCCGTTAAGAGTCAGGGACCTAGCCCAGCACCGCAGCCTAGCAGAATATCAATGAGGAGGACAGCAGCTCCATCCGTCATGTGAGATGTACCAACCAGGACCGGGCATCTCTTATGCTTCACCCACTCTGGTTATTCACTGGTTTGCCAGGACAGGGAGGAGCTGGGGGCTGAAGTTGGGGCTGAGGCCAGAGTTGGGGCACTGCTAACTGTCACAATGGTCATCCCTTGTGGCTTTATCCCTTTCTGTCTTTCAGTGTATTTCACCACAAAAGCGGGATAAAGAAAACGGATGGGCATGGGTATACTTGGGTGTGGAGTTACTCTTTCACTCCGTTGTCTGATCTTTTGATGTTTTCTGTTTTTGTCTGTACTCATCCGTTCTTGATTCAAATGTAGATCCAGAGATAGCTTTTTTTTCTCATCTGGGTCATGGTGTGGGGGTGTTTTTTTGTGTGTGTCTCTCTTTGCGTTTGTGTACATGAATGCTTTACTCATATTGAGTGCAAAAAAGAAGCTTTGATCAAATTTACTCTCATTCTCACCCTTCTTTTTTTTTCAACCCTGTTCCTTTCTCTGAGCCTTTAATGTTGTGGAGCAACCCTTTGCTTGACATTCACAAATCCATGCTAACAGTGGCAGAGCCCTGCGTGGGGGAAGTGTATGCTATACAATATATTTAAACCTTTATACTTTACACAAAGAAGTGCAACTAAAATGGAAAAGCCAGGCTCTGCTCAGTTGAAGGGGACTTGAAGGGTCATATGGTAGATACACAGTACACACACAAGAAAATATCAGTGTTCAAAAACTATTTTCATTATTTTAACGTTTTCAGCCCCACAACTTAATTGACTTCATTTGACTTCATGATCTCATCAGTGTCGTCTCAGTAATGCTCATAAAAATCATCTGTATTCCACCAGCCCAGCACCAAACGGCAGACAGACAAAGTTAGCAACTAGCGGGTGAACATATTGCAGCATTTAGCAGCTAAAGAGCCAGATATTTCCCTCAGGAGTTTGTGGAGACCAAAAATGAAAAGAGCTAATAGGAGAATAACTATTGGACTTACATTCACCAACGCAACACCAAATGTAATTGCTCCATAGCTGGATGGATGTGTAAGAGGCAACTTAAAAGTGTTAATATGCCAGTGTTGTGTTTACAGCTTGTTTTTGCTGCCACCAAGTGGCCAAATAATCAATTAATGAAGGTCTTATGTAAAAATGCTAATGCCTTTGAGAGCTATGTTTTTTAGAAAATGCCACTTTCCATTTAACAACAAACAGCAAAGTAATGACACCGTCTAAACACAAGCAGTCGTACAAGAACTTTCCCTGAATACAATTTTTTTGTCAAAGTTTAAATCTGATCTGATCAAATAAAGAGTAAACAAGATTGCAAATCTGACCAAATATTCAATACCAGCTGACAGGAGATACAGACACAGCATTGAGGTTCAATACGCACATCGACCCTAGAAAATACACAGCCGGAGCTGGAGGTACTGCATTAGACAAGCCAGTGAAAGAGATTTATGAAAGCAAGGACAGAGGAGGAGGTCAGACGGGCGAACATGATGTTACTACATTACCGCCTCACCACATTAGTACAGTGTATTCTTTACACATTCCACCCTGAAACAGGTCATTAGTATTGAAGATATGGAGCCCTCCACCAGCCAGGACCCTCATCTCATCGTCTCCATCTCCGCTGTGACCTGAGTGCTGCTTGTGTGTGTGTGTGTGTGTGTGTGTGTGTGTGTGTGAGTGTGAATGAGGCCTCTCTGTCTCGGCCGGCTTGCCTAGCCAGCCGTGTCCTCGCTCTGCATCTCCTCCGGTGTTTCACTAAACATGCTTGATTAGGCAAAGTACATTCCCGGCCCTCTAATGGCCTGATGAGCCCTTGAGAAGATTACTACAGACACATCAGCCCTGAGAGGGAGGTGCACGTTCAACCAGCTCTTTACCCCTCCACTAAGGGACACACACACACTCACACACACAAATATTGTCGGCCCTTTAACCAAATTTGGGATGCAATTGAATTAACATCAGAAGCAGAGCTCAGGCTTGAAATAGGCCGACACTGCCTGGTTCTAGGAGAGGTACTGTACATGATGTTATCTTACTCTATGATTTGATTACCTTAGTTGAACATTACAGAGCAGCTAAAGAATTCAGGTGTAACCTCGTGGAAGCCAGTTGGTTTATTAAAGCCATCATCCTCCCTCTTCTTTACATGCTACATGTCATTCCCATTCCTCCTCTTTCAACAGCTGCACTTCGTCGTCTTCTTCTTTCAAGCCCCTTTTTATTGTTAACAGACCCACACTTCTTTCTGCACACACACACACGTAACATCTCTACCTAATATAAGCCTGTGCGTTTGTCCTGTTCCTCACTATTGAAGGTTAGTTAGTTAATTTAATGAGTCCGTGACAGAAACAGAAATCAAAGTCAATCACAAAATCCTGCTTTATTTCACATAAAATCCTTAATGTGTTAAAACATTTTTAGACGTTTTCAAATCTTCTCAAGCGGAAAATTGCTTTCCTTTGCTTAGAAATGATTTTGTGTTTTGGAGTTTTGTTGGTTAAATGTAGCACATATTGCCTCCAGTCCTACACACACACACACACACATTATCCCTCTTTATCTCTATCCTATACATATCAGCACACACACACACACACACACACACACACACACACACACACACACACACACACACACACGCACACACACACACACGCACACAAAAATTCCCACCCAGCCCTCATGACCCAGTCTGTTTTTCTTATTTATCAGGTTGTGTCTGTGTGTTTGTTAAAGAGACCATGCCTTTGTGTGTTGTTGGGGTTGTTTGTGCCGTGTGGCTTCAGTGATGCGATGCCCCCCAGCCAATAACTGCCATCTTGCCCTACAGTGCTCGACTGTACTGTATGTGCACTGTGCCCTAGATCGAGTCCTTGTATTAAATCCACCATCGCAGTAGGGAGCAGTGACATGAAGCCGCTCCCTTCCAGCCATCATCTGAGAGGGGAAAAAAAGCACAAAAACAAGGCAAAAACGAAATCATCATTTGCATTTTTGTAAAGTTGTAGATGTACTTAGTCAGCGCTGATCATTTCTGTCATGTTTGTTTTTTCTATAGTTTGTTTCTGTGGTAGATATTTGGTTTGAAATTATATGGAATATTATTGTATATGATTTCAATTTCAATTCTCTGGTGTGCCGGATTTGATGATGACAATGAAGACGAACCTGATGACTATCATGATTATTATTAAATTGACAGTGACAATGAAGCAGTACTGTGAGCAGCACTGAGGTGTTGTGTCCTGTTTGGATGCTGAATCTAAAAAGGAAATGGTAGAAGAAGAAGAGGAAGAAGAGTGAATGGACTCATATAGGCTGTGGTTCAAAAAGAGATTCTACTTTTCTCCTGCGGAGTGGAGTCTCCTGCTACTGTGAAGGACCCTGCCGTCCTGTGGCTCTCACCAGAGGCTGGCTCCACCGTTGCCCCAGGGACCTCGGGGGAAGGCTGTCATCAGATGACAACACATGTCCCTACTACGTGTACATAACCTTGATGCTTACATGTAATTTAAGTGCAGTAGCTGCATGACGACACAGCCTCTGTGTGTGTACAGAAGTAGCGACGTGTGAATTTGTACAGTACATGCAAGTGTGTGTGCTTGTGTCCGCGAAGAAATCTGTCTGTCGTCACGCAAAAAGCAACACATGCATGCACCCTCCAACAACTGCACAGTACACACACACACACACACACACACACACACACACACACACACACACACACACACCCACACACACACACACTAAACAAACACACACACGCAACCACGCCCCAGCAGTTGTTCACCATTCTCCACATTGTCCTGAGCTCTGCCTGTCACTCCGCATGGAGACTTTGCTCTATGTCAACTTTCTTATTCTAATAAACCACTCAGACATTGACTCCTACGGTGTCATTATTGACTTCACTGTGTTGGATTTATTTTATTTATAAACTTAAAAAAAAACCTCTTGCACACTGATCAATGTCAAAACAAGAAGGTCTGTTACCTCTTACATAATTGAGTTGCACACTAGTGGAAGAAGTATTCAGATTGTTTACTTAAGCAAAAGTAGTAATTTGACACTTTGAAAATACTCTGAAATGTAAAGGTCCTGCATTAAAAACTCAAAAGTAAACATATTCATTTTGCAGAATGGGCCCTTTCAGAGTATTAAGTTCCTGAAGTCCCAAATGATGATATTGGATACAAGCTATTATCTTGTGCTTTAAAATGTATGCAGCATTTTCATGTAACCGGTTGAGGTGGAACTTAAACAATTTTACAAACTGTTGGGTAGTATGAAGACCCTGCACACCCATGCAAAAAAGTATTATTTGCTTATTTTGCCTAATGAAATCTTTGTGGGCCTGCACAGATATCTTTCTCACTCTCCAGTCAGTTTTTGTTGCCGTACAAGTTACAACTTTATTACGTAAATCCCAGCATAGCTTCACCCTGAGCAGGTCTAATTAAACACATACCCTGTGTAGGTGTACAGGGCCTTTTATATGTAATAATGCAACATATTCTTCTGGGACCCAGCCCACTGACTTGTTTCACATGAATTACCTCTTTTGAGCTATTCTATCAATATCGTACTGTAAAGACGACTTCCTGGGCTGTTTGATTGGTGGAGGTGCTGGGAACTTCCTCTTTCTTTCTTTTCAAAATGGACGACATAGGAACAAGCACATTTTATGGGAAGAGGAAAGGTAAATCCAATACTGTTTCTCTGATCTTTTTTTACTATGATAACCATTATGTTCTTGTTTATTAACGAGTCAGGAATTATATATTTAGTTCTGAAAGTAGTCCAATTATTTTTGTTTTGAAATAATTTGATTTAGTTTCAATTTAATTTAGTTTCAACTCCTGCCCTTGCAGCTTTTCCGCTGAAGGGCAGAGCCGTGACTTGTCTCCATTATCGTTTATATTAGCTTTAGAACCAGTAGCTGTTGCAATCCGCAGGGACAGGGAAATTACAGGCGTTCTCAAAGGTGGTCATGATTTTAAATTAAATATGTGTACAGATGATATTTTATTGACCTTGTCCAATCTATCACACTCTATACCAAAAGCAATTGGCAGTCTCTCAGGCTATAAAATAAATTGGACCAATACCCAACCCTATCCTTAAATCATTGTACATACATTGCAGATCTTGAACCAGCGCATTTTATCTGGAAAGTAGAGGGGATGAAATATTTGGAGGTATTGATTATAACAACTATTAATAAGATATTTGATTTGAATGTACAATCTTTATTATACTCTATAAGAAAGACCTTAGAAGGTGGTCAACCCTGCCTCTGGGGCTTAGTGCTGATGAAGAACATTCTCCCAAGATTATTTTCTCAAAACTTCTTGAAGAATACCTTGATTACAATTATGAGACAGATTAACAATTCAGGTCTTTAGCATCAGACAGACACACTGTCTCAGATTTGTATAGGTTGTTAGTCCAATCCTCCTGGAATCCCTTCATTCAGACTCTGGGAACAAGATTTAGGGGTTTCACTCACCTCTGCAGAATGGAAAAAAACGTGGCAGGACCCTGCAGTAATATCAAAGTCGGTCAGATTCAGAGTTATACACTTAAAAATCCTCCACAGAGCATATATCATGCCCTCAAGACTTAATAAAATTGACTCGAGTTCCTCTGATCTCTGCTGGCATGGTTGTGAACAAGTGGGAACTTTGACCCATATGCTGTGGCATTGCCCTGCAGTCAAGTCTTTTTGGACAGAAGTGTTTCACTCAGTCTCACTAATGATGAATATTGATTTTTCTCCTCGTTCTGTTGTTGGCTTGCTAGGATACAGGGCTGCTCAGTTATGGTCCAAAAAAACATAGATAGAATAGTAGGCCTAGCTTTTGTGGCTTCCAAATGAATGATTTTGCTAAATTGGAAAATCCATCAGCCATTTTTTTTTCAATAGAAACACTTATTTGAATTTCTCGACCTTCTTGGTATGGAAAGAATAGCTGATAGGATCATCGATACTGAACACAATTTTGACATTTTTGAAATGTAATTAATACAGACTACTACTGTGCAGTCCTGTGAGAACATGTTCTGAAATCTTGGGTTCCCCTGTTTAGATCAATTGCACACTGTGATGATGAAATGGACAATTACACCAATAAGCCATAACATGATGACCACCTGGGCACCCTGGTGGCCATAATGTTATGCAGCCCCATACACAACAAACTGTGATGCACTGTGTGATCTGACACCTTTCTATCAGAACCAGCATTAACCTTTTCAGCAGTTTGAGCTACAGTAGTTTGTCTGTTTGATCGGACCACACGGGTGTCACTGAGCCTTGGCCGTCCATGACCCTGTCTCCGGTGCACCGCTTTTCCTTCCTTGGACCACTTTTGATAGATACTGACCACTGCAGACCAGGAACACCCCACAAATCCTCACGCTGGCCATTTTTCCTGCTTCTAACACATCAACTCTGAGGACAAAATGCTTGCTGCCTAATATATCCCACCCACTGACAGGTGCTATGAGAACTATGATAACATGATAAGTCAGTCAGTGGTCATAATGTTATGGCTGATCGGTGTAATTGTGTTTGTTTTTTCTTTTTACCTTCTTTTTACTTTTATCTTAGTTGTTGTGGTATTTGTTGCTTTTGTGTGTGCCTGCATCAGCCTGTTATGATGTATTTTGTATCGACTGTTAAGTTTGGTGGATATGGTATCTTAAATAAAAACTAATCGGAAAAAGTCTAACTTGTAAGATCTTTTTCTAACCCTACAAAGGTAAGAAAATTTAAAAAAAAGAGGGAAATGGATAACACCTATTTTCCTTCGTTCCCAGGAGGATATTAAGTCAATCATCATCATCACTTCTGAGTTAATCATCACCATAGTATAGTATATTTTCCTGTGTAGTGCAGTACAAGTATTAAGTACCATTTACTGGAAATACTTAGTTATACTTTAGTATAGACAGTTTTCAACTTTCAACTTTTTCTTTAGCATGATTACATTTTTCTCCACACCAGGTGTGTGTCAGACAAAGTTTAGTTTACTTTATTTCAAACGTCAGAAACAAAAATACCACCACCTTTTACCCTCCTGATTCCCAACCATACCCACAAAGATAGAAACAATATGAAGTACAAAGTCATAACAGCAAAATGCCCTTTTTTTAATGTTTAGTTTTACTTCCTTTTTTAATTCAGAGTAATGCCATGCAGTGGAAACTAATGAAACACACAATAATAAGTTAGCAGTCACTGTTTGCCCTATAAGCAGACTGATTACTTTTTTTTATCAAGCACTAGTTCAGGCACATTGAAGACAGCCTGAGGGTGAATGAACTGTTAAGTGACTTCACCCAACATACAACAACATAAATCTGGGCAGGGTTGTTGTATTTAATATTAATTTTACTTTGTTATTTGGAAAGCTGACTTCAAACTCTACTTTATAATTTGGTTTAATTTATTCTAGTTAATGGGGAAAGTTTGTTATTTCAAATTGCTATTTTGCTAACTTTCGTGGAACCAAAAAGGGAAAACCATTAGGCTCCTCGGTCAGGCTAACAAATGGACTACACTGAAGAAAAACACGTCTGGTCAAAACCTTGTAAATAATCACCTGTTGAAAACTCAATAAAATTTGATGCTGTTATTACAGTATAGTACGATGAAAGATCAAGAGATGAAAGAAACAGATCAAAAATACTAATAGTTGTGGCCAACAAAACCATATATACCATTTCAGATAAACTGAAGCTCAAATTACTCATTCATGGTTCTCCTATGTCTATGTCCTATGGCTAAAAACAACCTTTAAAAACCCAATTAATTGCCATGAAGCTAAAAACAAAGCAGATTTTCCTACTTCATCAAAAGTTGACAGTGAGATTGTGATCTAACATATACAGTGTTACCGAGCAACATTATATAACTCAAAGCTGCACATTGAGCCGGTGTAGTACCATCAGTTTTCATTAGAGGGAGCTATTGCTGCATGAGACACATTAGGGCTGTTGCAATAAGCACCAAAAGCCTGGAGGAAGACTTCTGTAGATTTAGTAAAACAATCATAAAAATGTCCTTTACCATCAGTTCATATTGCCCTGTGCAGACGTACATTTACATCACCCTACTTCTTGACTCCCCCACCCTTTCCCCTCCTCACTGTACTTCTCACCTCTTCCTTTCCCCCTCCTCCCCATCCAGCTCTTCATCTCTCTGGGGAGCCTATCAGGCCATTTCACATCTGTTGAGTGGAGGAGGACCATGAGGACCTGACAGGGGCTCTCATTTGCTGATGTTTTATGGGACTGAAGCCCTCCAGTGCTGCAGTGCTCGAGTGATAGGAATGGAGGAGGAGGAAGGGGGGGTGGGGGTGTGTGACAATTCCACCGGAGTGTTTGTGGCATCCTTGTTCACTCTCCTCTGCAGATTTAAGGTGACTGCAGGTGCCAGCTTTGGGATAATTTACAGCTTGTTTACACCCGGCCAGTGTCCCATCAGATCTGTGAAAAAGTATGAAGGTGTGTATGTGACACTATGCAGTCCCTCTGACTCTCCTCCGTTATCTATCCATCTCCTTCTTCCTCTACCTTCCTCCCGTCCTTCTTTCCAACAGCCCCCCCCCCTTCACCACACACACACACACACACACACACACACACACACACACACACACACACACACACACACACACACACACACACACACTCATTATGATGAATCTGATTAATGAAGAGGCTGAAACAGTGCCAGTGGGTACTCTCCTTGATTTGACTGCCTACTCCACAGCTGAGCTCCACGTAATGCCAGCTGTCATCCGTCTCACCATCTCAATATTTGGACTCCAAATACCTTCTTTTTCTCTAAAGCTAGGTATACTTTTCCCATACTTTTT